CCTGCGAGGAACAGCCACTGATGCACCTGTTCAGCTTTGATTCTGGGAATAATGCCTGATGATTGGTTCCAATGTTTTGGCTAATAATTTGTGGGAGTAGTATTTAACATCACATATTTTGTTAATATTACAAATGCAAATTATAAGCAGTTTGTTGAAACAAAAAAAGTTGGTAGTTTGTGTGTGCGTGTGTGTGTGTGTCTGTGTGGGGTCTGGTGGTCAATCAGTGTGTCTCTCTACAATACTGAAGTTTGACATCGATCTGCCGCCGGGTTCATCTATCAGGACAAACACACTCCCTCACACAGTGCCACAAGGCGCTGGCCAGACACAATACCATCAATATTGGCAGAATGCAATAACAGAGATACACAATCATGCCTTTTAACAAAATCCACAAAGAAAATGTAGTTCTAGAAAAGTACCCCTCCTCTCATTCCACCACTCACTGAATCGTCTAATCTCACTGAATACGACAGAAGTGACGCGCACATTTTTTTTTGCTGCGATGGCTTGGTGGGTTTTGGTTTGCCTGAGAGAAATATCAACTATATCATTAGGATATCATATATCTTTTTCATGTATTTTTGCCATGGTAGCATTTAGCATTGAAAGACTGACACCACCATATGCACCATTGTTTGACTAATTTGCATAGTACATTTATTTTACCAATATTACAATGGCTAAAGTTGTGCTTGGAGTATTTTCATGTGGGTTGTGGCCCAGTGTAGCCAGGACTCAAATGAATCGAACCAGGTAAAGCACTCATATAATTAATACTCAAAATGTTGGTTCAATTCTGGCTCGGTTTAATGTCACTCTGCATATGGGATACTTTAGGGTGGTTTGCGTCCTCACAAAGAGGCTATAAATGTATAATCCCACCGCTTTTGATAACAATTTTATTCCGACCCTTCCTTTTTTTGCTCTCTTCATCAATAACCACCTCTGAAAACCCTTCTTGTTTCTATCATGTGGCTGCAGAGAAGACAAACCTCTTCTTCTTCGAATAATTTAAAGAAAAGAAGAAGGTGAAGTTCAAGCGTAGAGATGCTTGCTGTTCTTTTCCTCCAGAAGACTGACCCTTTTATTTTTAACAAACAAATGTCACCACAGGATACTAAGTCGGTCTGGTACAATGTTTTCCTGCCTCAAGCGAGACACAACTTCTCAGCTGCTTTAATGTTTTTTTAAATATTCTAATAGGAAATCTAAACCTTACTGTATGAGGCTATGCCTGCAGCCAAAGTTCTCACTTTTCTCTCCCTCAGTCTACTTCGTCGCATGCTGGATGAACATGCGAAAATGTGCGTGGGCGAGGACATCAGCCAAATGAGGTTTAAAGGCTTTTAATGGGCTTTGACATAAAAACAAGAGAAGATGAAACATGATATGATGAGGCGGCCTATGTGTGATTTGAGCTTGTTATGTGAATGTATGCAAAGGCACTTTTTTAAGGAGTCAGGGGCAGGAAAATCAGAGAAATCTGGAGGTGGAAATTAATTATTTGAGTACTTATCCAAGGAAGAAAATGTGAAGAGGCTTAATTTTAGCCAGCAGCAGTGTTGGGCATGCATACATTTTCTCATTCAATTCAATGGGAAAGTGTATCCAAACTTTTGACTGGTACTGCATATGTGTGTGAGGAAATGGGTGTAGCTACTTAAGCAGCATAAAAACATACAGTGTTTTGACTGAAATGGACATCAGTACATATGATTAAAAATGAATAAAAGAATTGTGCATTGTTTACATCCATGTCAGCCTTGATAACTACTGAACGGACCCGACATGGACAGACCCATTCATAAAGACATTGGTCCGTAGCAACGTACTAGTGGACGCAACTTACACAGGGTTCCTTTTAATTGTATCTGCTAAGGCTGCATGTGAAGGACGTCCCTGTAGTTACTTAACAAAGTCGGCAAAAAAAAACTCAACAATACAACTCAGCCTGTCCATTAGCAGCGAGAAACATGGATATATTTCTACTAAAGCTTGCAGGTCACAGGTGTCGAGATGGCCAGTGACAAAACTGTAGCAGGACTCAAGTTCCAACTGATGACATGAAATCATTTGTGAGTCTGTGCGGTTGAAGAGTTTATTATCACATCGCATCCCGCTCATCCCCCGGGCTTTTTTTTACATGGATGATGCAAGTTTCTCTTGCTTGCCTTCCCCTTTCTTTCCGCTCGTCCTCACCCATTTGTCCCCTTTTTCTTTTGCTCCTTCGCCTCGCCTCTCGCTGGTTTCCTTTCCCTCAATCCTTGTTTGTTTTCTACACAAAATCCCTCATTCCACGGTGTCCTATAACGCAAACGTCTCCATGTCTAAACCTTTTCTCTTCCCCTTTTCTCTGTTCTCTTTTATCCGATCCACCTCTTCCTCCCTCCCTCCATCTTGCCCTCTGTCTTGTGTGACACATAATAGCAATATTGATAAAAATGCAAAGAAATCCCCTTGATACTGAGAGCTTAGAGGAAAAGAGAGATGGGGAGAAAGGGACGGATGTTGTTTGCTCAAGCATGGAAGGAGGTGAATGGAGGAATAAAAAAATAATACTAATAATAATTGGAAGCGGCATAAAACCCTGCGGATATCTCTTACATCCTGGAGTAAACACGCACACACACAGTGTACCTGTCTATACACATACTTAACTTCATGTCCCGCTCGCTCACAAACCTTTACAGTTTCCCTGAATGCAAAAATACTTTGTGTCCTTTAAGCACAGCCTCTCATCTTTATCTTTTCACACACTCACAGCGTCGCCCATGCTGATCATCCTATACAATGATGAGAACTTTGTCATCCCATTAGTCGCCGTGGTAACAGCATTGGGCCAATCCACCATTTTCCACACTCCTGCTTCTTGTTGCCACCTTTTCAATTTCTGTAAATTGGCTGTATCTGTTTTCTCTGACAGTCTTTTCTTCTCTTTGTCTGTCTATTGTTCCTGTCTCTGTCACCCATTGGTGGATTACTGAATTGGCTCTGCAGGCATAGCAACCCAGGTGATAGGGGGCCCCTTAGGCCTCACCTGCAAAACGTCACAGACACAAAACCAACACGTAAAGAAAAAAACACCACAAAGAGATGCAAAATGAACACGGATGCAGAGCAATTATGAAGAGATACAAGACAACCACTAAAAGGTACAAATCTATGAGATAAAAATAGAAAAATAAAATAAAGATACGTGAAGTAACAGAGAACAATCGCAAAGAGACTAAAGGACACAAATGACCTTGGTTTATACAAAGAGAGAAAAAGGACAACAAGGGAGAATATTTAAATCAAGAATATATGAATATATGAAAACAATAAAGGAAATCATATACCGGTATACTGTTTGAACCCGGTATACCGCCCCCGCCCTAGTTTACATATATTTGAAGAAGAATTTACTTTCATAACAAATTAGATGAAACAAAATGCAAATGATTTGATTGATGGTAAATTAAACTTCAACTACTCTGATAGTCAATACATTTAAAGATGTTGGATGTATTAAACTAACTTCTTCTAATGAAATAGATTTTCGGCCTCAGCGTGACACCGTGATCTACAATATTGTGGCACTAATGCTGAACAATGAGTTGGACGGCACTCATCTTGAGGGCAATGTGAAAGAAGCAACTCTGTCAGTGTTGTATTCAAATGGAAAAAAGGGATCACAAGATGAGAAAAGGGAGCAGAGACTGAAGTGCCTGTGATGCTTTCACAATGATTAATGGAACGGGGAAGTTATCATTATCATTAGTATGAAATGAGTGGGTGATGTACTCAGTGTGTGCGCGCGTGTGTGTGTGTGTGTGTGTGTGTGTGTGTGTGTGAATTGGGCTGTAACACACACACACACACATCAGTTTTTATCCTCTTCACATGCACAGGCTCAAACAATGACTATTAAATGCAGATTAATGTGGACAGCCCTTTACTGTCTGTGGTGCAATAACAATGACAGTTCAGTAATGGGGTTGGCGAAATGTTAAACAGCTACGATTAGACCGGCTACGCACACACACACACACACACACACACTTTCAGTGCGGCACAGGCTTAACCAGAGAGGAGCAAGGTTGCCAGTTTAATCCAGTTGTAGGACAGACGGCAAGGCCAGAACGAAAGGGACAAAGATGATGGGAGGAGGAGAAAAGAAAGAAAGAGAGAAGAGAGAAGAAAAAAGAAAGAGGAAGATGGATTTAGATTAGGAGGCGGAAATTGTCGTGACTTGGCAGCAAATCAATTTACGGCATTACCAGCAGCGACACCAAAGAGGCCTGTTAATCAACAGTTAAATAGACCTTGCTACCTCAAGGTCACACACCTACTCACCCACACAGGAATGAAGCTAGACAATGGTGCGAAAGATGGTAGACACAACGCCATTTCCCAGGAATTCACTCTATTCAGATTATTCCTTGAATGGTAATCTTGTAAACAATGTCAGCAACCTCACATGGGTAGTATCCTCTTTTGTGTCACCAGTTTGAGTTGTATACTGTGCACAGTGGAGCTCAGTGGAAGGATTAGCTGGCAGATTGTGTATCTCGATTTGACTGAAATTAGGTCATTGGGTTACATACATGCATTAGCTCAATTGTAAATCTGATTGCATTCATTTTGCGCTTGATACACATATGATGGGAATGTATTGCAAGAACACAATGGCAAGTTCCAAGATTGTGCAGAAAAAACGAAGAAGAAAAACAGGTTTTCAGGATTCCTCTTGTGGCTGAGCTTAATTTCCGTTAACCAGCAATGAAACGATTCCTTCTTTTTCAGCGTGTTGACCCAGGTAACTAAAGAATGGCCCACACTGTACCCATAAACAACACAGATATAAGGATAATTTGGTTTCTAGGAGTAATTTTGGGGAATTGGGAAAAAAAATCACAAATTTGCCGGTCTCCTTCATGAAATTCAGAAACACTAACTGCATGCATGGATGTGTAATGAGAAGCGGAAGCAGCTCATCGCTCAGCCTTGCTTACAATTTGTCCCAGAGCCCACGTGTGGTCTTGCAGGAACTAATCCCCCTGCAGAGGACAAAAGGAAAGGGAGAGATAAGATAGAGCTCCACTCTATGCGATGAGGTCTGAACCAGCGGACTGTTGCATCACTGGATGACAACACACGCGTCCCCTCTCCTTTTAAAAACCCATCTCTGAAATACATTTATGAAACACAATCACAGGGACCAACAGAGGTCAAAACTATCAGCAGAACCGGTCATTTTCCTCACAGAATCTCTCTGGGCTAAAAGCTGGAGCCACAATTTAGCTTAAATCAGCCGTGTTGCCGAGGCGCTGCGGGTCAAGGCGCACTCTGATTAGTTTAACCTTGTGTTTGATGGTGTGTCTGTAACATCGGGAGACGTTGTTTCTACAACTGGAACCAGCTTTTCAGCGTTAAGCTTACTAGAAATACATTCACTTAATTAAAAGGAGTAACAATCGATAGAGCACGAGGCTGAAAGGGGAGAGGAGAGCCGAGGGGAGGAGGGAAGAGTCCTATGTAGCAACAAAAGGAAGCAGAGAGCATCAAACGGAGCAGAGGAAATGAAGAGGGACGAGAAGTCAGGAAGTAAAAGAGATAAATAGCCTGAGTGATATGGACGGTGTGGATTTCCATCTTAACCTTAAGGAGAAATAAAAATGCACACACAAACGGACCGTCTCACTCTCAAGTGTGAGTCATATATAAGTCTCTGTTGAGATGCTACATCCTGCACAAAACCCTTAAAACCCTCCAATCATTGGTGGAGTGAGAAACACAGCACGTAATACATCACATTACACTCCAATTGTTCAGCAGGTTCCCTGCTATTGTTTGAAGTGTCTTTTATGGAGGTGAAAGAGCTCTTGGCTACAAAAAGAGAAGCAGGACAGAATGTTTTGCAGCGAGTATAATCTTTGAAGTGGCCGGGATCAAGCAGCAGCCATGCAGGGCGGTTTTGGTCCAGGGCCTTCTCAGAGGCTCCATTAGCCCAGACAGGAGTAGTTGGGGGGACAATCGTCTAATTTGTCTGGCCACTAATGTATTCGTCTCTGAATAGCAGACTCGCTCCGGAATGTATTGTTTTAAAATGCACTCTATCACCCGAGACTCTGTCACCATTCAAGCAGACGAGACGATTATATACACATATGCAATGCATATTATTGTTGTTGTTATTCACAATCAGCTTATTGTAATAGTTGTATAGAAAGAAATACTATTCACGACCCAGCCAGACCGTCGATAATATCGTGTGTAATGCCACATGCATTTGGGAGAAAAAGAGAAACACATGAGCAAAATCTATTTAATACTATAAATTCTAACTATGATCCTAGTGACGAGTACCCATTGTTGTCTCCAGCATGAGAAAACGCTGCAGTATAATCGAAAAAACGTCAATGCAGAAGCAGTCGATGGTTCCTCTATTCCTGAAGAGAACCGATGCTTTTCTGCTGGACACGTGACGATGCTGATTTGAATTGTCCATTAAGTAGGTGTGAGTGTCTGATCCCACCTCATTCCTGTAATGATAACAGCTTCTAGCAGTTAGCTGTTAATTACTGCACGGGCGCATGTGGGCGCATGTGTGCGCATGTGTGTGTTCGTTCGTTTTGCTGAGGACTGCCGACGAGTGTGTGCAGCCATGAGTGAAACCAGGCCGCGCTCCACAGCAGAGAGACAAAGGCAGAGAAACAGTGAAGGGAGGGAGACCAAGTTGGATAACAATTCGAACAAACAGGTGAGTCTGTGAGTCACCTTAAACCCCCCCAGCATATACACACTCACAAACACGCGCTTCGCTGTAGGAAATTATACACACATCATATTATTGACACTATTAAAGTTAAGAAAGGAGTAAACCCCCTCACAACGTTGGATCATACAAAGTATCTTACACTATAAAACCATGTGCAGCAACTACTAATATAAACACATATTCCTACGTAAGAATAATTCATATCTGTTCCCACAAATCTAAAAATATACCCGCCTGAAATCAATTAAGATGCGGATTGCTCTCACAGAGCCCCCGATCAAATCTCCTCGCGCCCAAGAGTTAAATATATGAGTCTCTGGAGCTCTCGGCCAAGCCCTGCGTTAACTTACGACCACTGAAATATTAAATAGAGGCATTTAAGGGAGCGCTGACGTCCAAATGTTGGGCTGTGGCGACAGAGTTGCGCTCCATTTGCGGTGCATTTCCAAAAATCTCTCAGTAGTTTACATTATTTCACCTCCAGCACTGGAGTTTTGTAAAGGGTTTAAACGATGAGACTGTATGTCAGATTTCATGTCTGACTGAAGGTTAAGTAAAAACAACAACATAAATAACTATGTATATTTTCATCCTGTTAACATATGTTGATTTCATTTCATTGAGTGTGTTGAGTTGCATAACATTTCATTTTCTTTATTGGTTTAACATAAATTGACATCTGTTAACATAAAGTGCGTTTTAAATATTAGCCTCTATCCATGCTGTAATTCCTCTTGCTAACCACCTGGTTCCTAAGACAAACCAAATCTGTGTCCCCAATGCAGGCAGACAAAATCTGTTTCGGTTCTGAATGTGACATTGATGTAAACGTTTGTCCCAGACTGAAATGTATAAAGGAAGCAGTTGAGCTACTCACAGCCTTACAATAAATTTAAATCAAATGTGATTGATGGTGAGACAGCTCTGTAGTGATCTTGGAAAACAAAGTATTATATCTTTGAAAGGCATTTTTGCTTGCTCAGTCCCAGCAGAAAGCTGGCATCCCACCCGCTTGTTTGTGTGAGGATTACAGTATGCACGGACCAACTGCTGAATCTCACTGAAAACCAGCAAATAGTTCTCAGCAAAATTAGCCTTTATTTTTGGCTGTAACCGACTCCCTGCGCGTTGCTATGGTGACCTAAGAAACAGGCTCACGTCGGGTTTGGCTGTGTGCCGCTCTCCCGAAGTTCTGAAGTGAAGCAGTGGATGTAAAAAGCTTCAAGACTGCACATTGCTTTGCTCTCTTTTGCACCACATCAATCCCCAGAGAGATACAAAATGCACGTACGCATAGAATATTGTTGCGTCAACCTTCATAAACCAAGGTTGATTGAGCGGTCTGTGTTGCAGCCCAAGTGTCACATTAGATGAGGGAGAATGTCTTCGACTTCCACATGGGGCTGATGAGCAGAGGTCAAAGCATTCTAAGGGCAAGAACGGAAAAGATGCGCCGGCTGAACGAGACTTAAAGATTTTCAGAATTTGGTACAGCGAACATCTTGGCCAGTTCATCTCTCTCAGTCAGCATAATTTGTTTGAAGTTGCTTTGATCGCTATTTCTCTCTGTTCTATTCTTTGTGCATTTGTTTGCGTGTTCAAGCATCACCTGACCAAGTTTATGATTTTCAGGTGCTCAGCACCGTGGTTACAATCAGTATTATTCCTCATAAAAGAGTTGCACGGCTCAATGCTTTATCACCAACGTAATGGTTTCCATCACCTTGCAAAGTCATTATAATGTTCTAATTAGGTTTAATCTCGTCCCACACTCCATCTCCATAGCAATCATCCATCCGTTCCCCACCTCCTGCAGCTTACTCCACTGCGTGTGATTTTCTCCTCTCTGCTAATCTCCACTGCTCTGTGCACCTGTTTTACTTCTCCCTCCAGCTCTTCAGCTCAATCTTCATCTACATTTTTCTTTTTACACTCTCTCAGTCACATCCGCCTGCAGTCAGTCAGCCTCATCTTGCAACGTTTTCCTCGCCTCACCTCATCCTACCCTTCCTTTATTTTCTCCACCTTGGTGTCCCCGTTGCATCCGTGTCTTTTCGCCATTCGTCCTTTCATCTCTCAGTCACGTCCACCCGCCATATGTTTCCGTTTTCTGTCTCTTTTGGTAATGGCGATGTCGCCTTGCAACCTCTCCGTCATTTTCAACTGCCCTCCTGTCTTTCTTTTTATTGTTTCTCTCTCTGTCATCGTCTCTAATTTCCCTCTTTCGGGCTCTATTGATTTACACACCCACCAATGCCATAAACCCATCTGCACACTTCAGCATCTCTGAAACACGGCCATAAATTAGACTGTGGGTGAAAATTGTTGCCGGGCAAAATGATTTAGAACAAAATAAGTTATTGCTGATTAAATATATCATGTATTTACAGACTGTAATGGATCATTCTCATCCAAGATCAAAACATAAAGAATCAAGGAATCTGCAAACTGAAGAATAAACCACCAAGAGGAGATCCTTTGAAAGGAACCACAGAATGGGCCCAAAAGACAAATAATTTAAGAGGCGAAACGCCAAATTAAAGATCGACGGAAACAGGGCTTAGTAGCTAATGCAATAACTGTTTTAATTATTCTAACCCAGTCGGACTCCATTAGAATTCCACACACCTCTTGTCCCTGAGGGAATACGTTTAAATTACTCACGTATTCATTATTGATCCGGTGGTAAAGAAAAGAAAGGATTCAGATAATGATCCTTGCCAAGATCCATATGAACGAAGCAAGAACCCGCTTGTAAAAAAAAACACTACACCCATTCAAATGCTATTAGAAAACCGTTAAAGGGTTATTTAATTAAAGCCGGGAGTGTTTACATGACCTTTGACTTGCGAACAATAATTCGGCCTCCTAGACAGACATCTCCGTCTCTGCTAGTCTATCTGTTCCTGCAAATGTCTCTCTGTATCTTTGTCCCTTTGACTCTCTTGCTAAATACAGATCATGACCTTGGTATTACAGTAAATGATGCATGGACAATATAGAAACCGCACAAGTTTGACTCTGAAATTAAACATTAATGTTATTTCTCCCTCTGTCTCTCTCTCAGGGTCTACACAGTGCACACACGTAAGCACGCAAATGAACGGTGTGTGTTTGTGGCTCTAGATTAAAGCAGCCGGGCCCACCGGACCAAGACGATTCAAAAGGACAAACAGGAACAGTTCACTTTCAAATTGTCACACGCCAGAGCACACACACACACACACACACACACACACAGGCAGTGTACTGTTGACAACACAGACATACATAGCTTAT